TTTTGGCCTTTTAAAAAAAAAAATATTGCAATTTTTATTTTTGAGATGATTTAATGTTCTTAACTAAACATAGGTAAATCACTTAATCTAGTATTCATATATTTGATAGGTGTAATTAATTGATGTGGGATTGAGTAGAGTGGCTTTTAATTTTTGTTGTTAATAGATGTACTTGAAATTTTATAATATGAATTTGTAAATAAATTATTTCGTCTCATTCAAAAAGATAATCAATTTATAGATTTGTTTTGACTTTGTAATTGATGCATGATACGTTTTTTTTTTAATTACTATAACTATTTAATGTAGATGTGAATAAATGAAAATCAACGATTTCATATCATGGTTTTAAATTGATTAAATCACAAGTTCCCATTAAAAAATTTCAGCTTCGAAGGTATGTTGCTAATCCTATTAATTTGATCTGATGATACTAATAAAAATATAAATTACATTTTATGTGCTATAAAAACCTAAATATAAATGACGTGTTCATTTTTTTTATATGGACCATGAAACGTGATAGTTATGGGTACAATAATTATATGAGTAGTGATCTCTATACAATAATTTTTGGTCATATACAATAATTTGTGTTTTATGAAGTTGTACAGTATAAACATATAAAACATAAATTATTGTGTATTGTTAAAAATTGTTGTGTATTGATCAATATACATAATTGGAAAAAAAAAATATTAACAAAGAAAGACTCGAATTAATGAAAATAAATGACCATCTCTGTGAGATTTCCACCGTTTCCAACAAATCTTTTTGTTTTCACGTGGATCATCTTGTTTTTATGTTGATCTTCTTGTTTTTACGTGAATCATTATGATATTCGATAACCCCGAAAAAAAAATTGGCTTTTTGTCCGGAATTTCGGTCACTATTTAGTCGGTTAAAATGAGTATAACAAGTGTATTATGATGATACTTATCAACAACTTCATGTATATGGTATGACATTCTTGCATCAAGTAATGCTTATCGTATGTTACACTGCAACAATTTTTTACAAAAAGAAAATAATTAACAAACAATTTTAAACAAAAGAAAATAATGAGTTGTAGCAAAGTTGAATTTTGTTAGAATTAAGGACTTAGACAAACATGATAATCAAGATGTGAGTAACAATTAAGAACATAAGAATTAACGTGATTAATTTGATTAGAGTAACTGATCGAGATTTATGTGAGAGAGGTGGTAGCACGGCATGGAGTGCCGACTTCGATAGTGTCAGATCGAGATGTACATTTTACTTCAAGGTTCTGGAAGAAATTGTATGAGGAGTTGGGTACCCGGTTGCATTTCAGTACCACATACCAGCCGCAGACAGACGGGCAGAGTGAGCGGACGATTCAGACGCTCGAGGACATGCTACGCGCAAGTGTTATGGACTTTGGAGGAAGTTGGGACACTTATATTCTTTTGGCTGAGTCTTCTTATAACAACAGCCACCATTCCTGTAGCACCTGGTCTCCGGTATGTGAATTTTATTTGAGCATTGCCCTAATTTAGCCTTGGACTCGGCGAGTCATAGGGTCCGACTCGCCGAGTAGGGACGAGACTCAGGACACGTTTTAAGTAGGCGACTCGGCGAGTCCACATCCTGGACTCGGCGAGTCACCGCTGCCGGATGAAACCCTAAGTTTCAAGGGTTTGCACCCTATTTAAACTCTCATTCCGCCCCAACTCGTCCCCATTCACCCCCAGACCTCCCCCAACATCGTTTTCCCTTGTTTCCTTGAGAGATTGAGGTGTTCTTGGTGTGTTCTTGAAGGTTTTGAGGAGAAAGAGGAGTAGATCAAGAAGAGGAGAAGGAGATCGGCCATCTTTGTGTCATTTCAACATTTTCCTTGAGGTATATCTCGTTTTCCCCTGTTTCTATGCTTAGGATGTCATTTGGGACACTCTTGAGCAATTCTCCAAGCTTGTTTGTGCTTAAGGACTCGTAATAAGTGGATTAACCTTTAGATCTAGGCAATATTGAGCTCCAGGAGCTCAGATCTGTGAGCTTTATGGCCCCATGTGGCTTGTTCATCCTAGATCTACCCTTTTGAGGCATTTTGCACCCTAAAATCCACATTAGTGAATATCCACACGTAAAGTTGGAAACTTTACGTGTGATTTGTGTCCTAGAAGTCCAGATCTATGAATGGCATGGACTGAAACCGAGTAAATCTGTGTATTTGGTGGATGCATGGCGACGACTCGGCGAGTCGCATAGGTGACTCGGCGAGTCTGGTCGCGAGTCACCGATTTGGTCCCTTCATCATGTGTCGAGTTGAGCCATGAGTCACAGGGGGTGACTCGGTGAGTTGGGAGCTGAACTCACCCATGTTAGGACTCGGCGAGTCAATGCCCTGACTCGGCGAGTCCAAGGCAATCTTCATAGATCAAGAACAGACTCGGCGAGTTGTTCATACAACTCGGCGAGTCTTAGCATAAAGTGTTCATCGGATGAAGATGAACTCGACGAGTTGTTCATAAACTCGGCGAGTAGGATGAAGGAGTTGAACGACAGTTAGAAGGTGAACTCGTCGAGTCATAGCCCGACTCGACGAGTAGAACCAGGGACCCAGGACAATGGTTTGCTAGGGACTCGGCGAGTGGTGATCCACTCGGCGAGTCGGGTCAACTGAAAGTTGACTCTAGCTTTGGCTTAGAGCTAGACCGGGGGTAAAATGGTCATTTTACCTAAAGGCAGTTAGCAGTGTTTGATTGAGTATGTTGTGGGAATTGCAGCCGGAGGACTCCCGGAGCAGCAGCAGTCAGTTAGTTCCCGATCAGTTCAGCAGCTACTTTGAGGTGAGTTACCTTCCAGTAGCAGTGGGTCTAAGGCCACAATGCCGACCCACCAGTAGGAGATGTATGATAGATGATTGTCTTTGTGATATCATCTAAGTTTGCTACTACCTGATATGTTATATGCTAGCATGATATGTTGTATGTGATAGTAGTAGAGTTTGGTTGTTAGGACCGAAGGGTAGTCAGACACCCCAGATACGTCTGACAGTATGTGATGATATGTTTGCATGCTGGCTTGTTATGTTATATGTGATCGTAGTAGTAGGGGGTGAAATAGTCCCCGAGGATCGGTTGTTAGGACCGATGGGTAGTCAGCACCCCAGAATGGCTTGACACGGGTAAGACGGCACCCCAGAATGGCCGTATGGGTAGGTCGGCACCCCAGAATGGCCGTACCGGGTAGTCAGGCACCCCAGAATAGCCTGGCAGTACGTATGTTATGTGTTTGTATGGTATGTGGTACGTTGGGGGAACTCACTAAGCTTTGTGCTTACGTTTACAGTTTTGTTTTCAGGTACCTCTGCATCGAAGGGGAAGGAGCCGGCGCGGTAGCGGCACGTCATACACACACTCTTCGGTTTCCGCATTTATGAGATTTACTGGGATTGTACTCTGATATTTTGATGGGATGTATGGTTTGACTTTTTAGAACATGGTTGCGATGTGTTATGGTGTGAACAAACAATGTTTTTATTTATTAATGTTTTCTAAAGTAATACCTTAAAAATGAAATTTTCGGACGTAAAAATTGGGTCGTTACAAGTTGGTATCAGAGCCCTGGTTTGAGGGATTCGGACACGCCTTCGGGAGTGTTTGGACTCAAATCGAGGGATTGAAAGATTTTTCCAAAAGAAATTGTTCTTTAAAACCCGGAAAAGAGTCACAAGAAAGAGTAAAGTGTGTGACGTGCGCGACCGGCCGAGCTCAAGTAAGTATTCCCCATAGTACCCATACAAGTTTATGTTATGTTTATCAGCTTTATGAATATTGCATGCTAGAATAGGCTAAGGATCTAGGAGTGATGCCTTATGTGCCTGTTTATTTGTTACAGCTTTATGAATATTGCATGCTAGAATTGAGTAGACAGCAGTAGGATAGCCTGTTTAGGTTATGCCTGATAGTATGAGCTTAGCATCCTATGTTAAGTGTCGTTTCTTGTTCTAAGAACAGTTTTGGCTTGAGTCTGTTTTTCCTTATCCGAATGCTGCTTGCTTCGTGCTTGGTGGGATTCTGAGTAATGGGAGTGAGCCACTAGGTAAACACGTCACACCACATGTAATCAGGGTTGAATAATCCCAAAGTGTTGGAACTGGCCCTATTGCGCAGCTCTTGTTTGAGTCCAACCGTTGTAGGGACGGATCTTTTACTTGAAGGATTATCTAATCCTCATCACATGTGATGGTGTTTAGGTGGTGGCTAACTGGCATTATGAGGAGACCTACAGCAGCTGAGGACCAGTTGTGTTGAACTTGGTTTTCCCTAGGGCAAGCCTAGGATGAGAATAACAGAGAGTAGCAGTAGTAAAGGGGAGCTGGTGGAGTCGAGGAATTCCTCGGAGAAGGTACGGATAGATGTGGAAGGTAGTATGGGCCCGTACTACTGAAAGCAGAGGATCCGTACCCGAGCCGAGGAAGGCCAAGACGAGACCAAGGAACCTGTAAGTAGTTGAGATCCCTCAGAAAGTAGCAGTACCACTAATGATTATTATGATGTTTTGCAGAATGGTGGTACTTCGACCGAGACCGACAGATGGCGGGTCAGGAGAGGGGTCAGGTTCGGGATCTGGCACCGAGCCGATTGAGGAGAGGCTACGTGAGTTCATCACGTCGGAGATCACTAGGGGCATCCTTGAGTCGACCCCCATCATCTTTGGGTCGATCAAGGAAGGGATCGTGGAGTTGATGGAGGATCGCCTACGGGCATTCAGGAGCGACTTGGCCTCTAGCCAGTCGGATCTCGCACACTGTCCTTCAAGGACTTCAGGGGCAGTGGTGCGCCGGATTTCCATGGGGTGAAGGACCCCATTGTCGCCAGGCGGTGGATTGCGGATATTGAGTCCGCCCAGTTGACCAGCTTCTGCCCCGAGGGGTCGAAGGTGAGGTACGCAGCAGGGTGTTTACGGGACCGGGCCCGAGATTGGTGGGAGTCAGTGGGTGACTCGTTGGGAGCCTCGGCTATCGAGGCAATGAC